CCCTATGTGACATTTATCATTAAGCTCGTTTGCAAGAGTCAATGGATCATAGCCTTCGATCATTGAAATTGGTGCAGTGCATTGATTTTTTGATAATAGAACAACCGTTGGCAAAGACGAAAGGGCGTATATTTCACAAAGTTCAGAGTTTTTTTCAGCATTGACTTTTGAGAATGAAATTGGAGAACAGGGAAGTGAAGATTGGATGATAGATTCCCAGTTTTCGATGATTGTAATGAGATTACAACACGGGGCATTATCTGCGGAGTAAAAAACAATCAGCAAATATGAGGTAGCGTCATCGTTCAGTGCATTTTCAACGTCATCTTTGGATGAAAGTTCGAACATTAAAATTTATAGTTTAATTAACAATGGAATCAATTAAAATACTAGCTTCCCTATGGGATGCCCTAAATTTAAAAGGATCAAGAAATACCTAAGCCTTTCCAGCACGGCAGTTGAAACGGCGTCTTTCGTCATCATGGAGCATACTAAGCTGGTCGACTCAAATATGTAAAGATTATATTTGGGATCATGATTAATAAATATTAAATTTGACAATGACAAAGGAGCATCAACATTAGTTTTAATATTGGCTTCGATTGGCTTCGAATGGAAGATCTCAAATCCATCAATAAAGACCGATTGTAATATGGGTTTCTTAATCATAACAAGCAACAAATATACAGATAGCGAGTTAGAATCAAGATACAAGTAAAATTCCTTCAATTCATGTAAAGAGGTTAAAACTACAGATTGGTTCTTGAGCTCATCCGTCAAAGTTGCATTTGGAGTCAAGTTCGAAGCAAGGTGCTTTACAAAAACACAAGGAAATAAAGTAATATACACGGCATTTGAAATATATTCTAAAAATTCGTCTTTAAACAAGTTGAAGTGGGCCTCTGGAAGGCGGGATTTCTGGAAAATCTGGGAATAATTTGTCGCCTCGAAGAAGGTAAAATTTGGTCTTTTCCGAAACGGACGTATACATGCACAGCTCTTTAGTGATGTAATCTAGGATAAAAATACTTAGCATACAGAGAAAACCGAATTTATCGGCAAAAGATAATTCAAGTCATCTGGATTGGTCTTCCATAAGCGGATAATAATCCACTTTGGAGCATTTCCGACGGCAGCCGAATAAGATATAAGCAAACAGAAAGGCGATGAGCTTGATACGTACATTTCCATGATGGAGTTTGCTTCATCAGATGATATTGAGGATGAATCCAAAATAGCCATTAACCTTGCAAGCAGATCATTTTCTTGCTCAAATGTGATTAAAAAGGACGAATTATTTGGAACGGGGGTTTTTGGCGACGAAATTGATTTCCTGATAAATAAAAACGGTTGGATTTTGACGGGGAGAACAAGATTATTAATTACAGGTACAAGTCCGCCATTGATATCAAACGATGAGATTTCTCTATTCAAAGAAAAAATCGAAATATTCGAAAATCCAAGTTTGCAGTCCCATGGTGCTATAGCAACCGCATTATAGCCAAGCTTGAAATACGCGGTTGAAGATTCAGATCCTTTGCGAAGAGGAAATTTTTTAAAAGCCACAGATTCGTGAGTTATGTTGCAGAACAAGGGCTTAGGATCGATTCCATCCGAAGGTCCAACATACTAAAGATTAGGAAAGAAACTCCTACCTCTGAATGAAATAGGATTAGCTTTTGCCCAATAAAGATTTCATTGTTTCTTACCAAAGAAGAAATGTGATGGTCAACTTTAAATTCGCCAAAATACCAGCCGTCGCAGAATTCAAGCCATAAGGCTTCATCTGAATTTGTACACTTGTAAAAAATGTCGCTTACATATAGAACCATTGGTTTGCAAGACGAATCGTCACATTCATAAATTCTTCTCAAGCAAGATCGATTTTTACCAGAAATATCTTTAAAATAGCGATAGGTCATCCTGCAAACAAAATAATCAAGCGAAAATATTCGGTGGAAAAAGGCATGCAGATGATTTAAATTTTGGTGTTCGTAATTTACACGCAAAAATCTAAATAAAGCACATGCGCGTTCAAACTCAATTCGAAGCTGCAAAGTGACCCAGTTTTGATCAAGAAGACCCCCATTTATGGTTGCATTGCATTTTAATGCTTGCACAACGGCAAATGTATTAAAGACCTGATCAGGAAGCATGGTTACACAGTCTCTAGGATACTTGGGTAATTTTAAAAAACATTGAGAAAAATTAGTAGACCTACAAGGCACATTGTTTACGTCAAGATCGTATAAAAAACGAGCCTGATCTGATCTTGAACGGTCTAAATAGGCTTTCAACTGATCGGATCTAACAAAAAAATGGGATCCTTATTACCGATTCGCATGTATTGTTGACCGTTTTGAAAGGATCTTTGTTTTGGTTATGTTTGGAAATTTAGAGACGGTTTAGCGGGGTTTTCGTTACAGGGCATAGTCATTTGATCCTTTTTGGGAACTTTTTGAGGCTCTTCAAACTTTGTTGGTGCCGTGCTTGAAGGTGGCTCCGTCCAATTGGGAGATTCCGGATGCAGAAGAAATTCGTTTACTTTCAAAAGAGAGTTTAGAGAAATAGGAATGGCCTTATTTGAGGCCGTGGTAAAAAAAGAAGCAATTTTTTCTGAACCATCGATAGCCTGCTCTGCATTAGAAGGGGGCGCGAGACTTTCATCCGTGTGGTCCTGAAATAGTAATCTAGCCTTTTTTAAAGAACGTGTTGAAATATTAATTTGCCTATTAGTTGCAGTGGTGAATCCGGTATTGGTGGTTCCCGCTGCATTGGCAGTGCCCGCTGTACTCTGATACGAACAAATTTTTGACTGAAATTCGTCGTCTACGTTAAAGGGATCAGGACCAGTTAAGGGGAAAGACGAATGACATTGAAGAACGTTAGAATCTCTCCAATATTCAAGCTCAATTGGAAGCTCAAACAAC